ATAAGAGCTAAAGGATCCTGACGATGGAGAATAGATATTAAAACTAAAATTCTGGACTGTATCCATCGTCCCAGTCAGTTGAACCACGACGTTTCGGAAGCTGGATCTGCTACCGTCCTCAGGTAGAGCTCCTTTTCTCCTTCACTCTATATTCCTGTAGAATATTTCAATTCTTTTTTTGCTCCTTGTCCCAGACGATTTGGGGCTTTCAATAATTTTTTATCTTGATTCGTCTTTTTATCTCCCATTGACAACTTCCCACTATGAATTGATCACCCTTGATTTCGTCCCCTGCCAGTTTGTCCAGTGATTGAGATTAGCTTGATCTAAGGGACCCAACTGTATAGGATACATAAGAACCCTCCTTACCTTTTAATTTTTTTCCAACTTTTTTCCTTTTTTACCTCCATTTTACTTACCTGAGGATGGTAGCAGATCCAGCTTCCGAAACGTCGTGGTTCAACTGACTGGGACGATGGATACAGTCCAGAATTTTAGTTTTAATATCTATTCTCCATCGTCAGGATCCTTTAGCTCTTATCAATCTAAGAATTTTATTCTTGTTTTATACAATCTGATTTATTGTATTTTTATGTCAAGTGTTTTATATATTTAATAGTATTGTATCCAATTTTACTAGTACTGCAGTTCAGTGGTGTATATATGTGAATTGCTTTGTATTTATTACATTTGTACAGTGGATTCATCAAGAAGTTCCCAAGCACCAGTTTTCATAACTTGTATGATCTTCAGTGTGAAGGTGTTATGAGTGCAGAAAAAATGTGGGCTTAATATTAGCAAATTTAAATTCATCTTTCATTGCTGAATTAGATGAGCCTCTCCTTGAGTTTTTAAGTTTTCTGTATTTTGAAAGAAGTTACACCATAGGCATCCTGAAGCTGGATAAAACAAAGCTGAGACTTTGTCCTTTTTTGCAAACATAGCACTATTATGATAGGATAACTAATGTGAGATATTAATTACTTTAACATTTGCAGCGAGGCTTATGTAACAGTTTAATGTTAAGAATATAAGGACAGTTCTTAACGTTTATAGAGGAAATAATCTGTAGGAGTTGTATGGTGGTGGTCTTACTAACTTGCATCTGAATTCTGTGATGAAAGAATCAACTTTATTACAACTCTAGTGCTACTGAAATATTTGAGTTGTGAGAAGTCCTGAACTTGTTTGAAAAATGCTTAATTATCTCAATTATTTCTAAGCATTACATAAGAATGTGCAAATTCTAAGAAACTATACAGGAATTTTATCACTTTGCTTGGGCAAGAGCCCTGTGAAACAATTATATCTGGAGAGTGTTTTGAAATTAAAGCATGTGGAATAAGTCAGTTGGACAATGGATGATTACACTGTGCTAGCAGTAGTATAAACGTTGGCTGAGGTGGCCTGAAACAGGATTGTCTTCTAATTTATTGTCCTTATTGTTCTTAATGGCCAGAATTAATGTGTTTATATGATTGCTATTTTAGTGGTGCATAAAACTAATCCAGGATTCCATTTTAATCACAATAAGTTACACATAATTCTTGTAATAGATTAAATTTCAATTCAATTTTATTTCATCCATGAATCATTATACATGATATGGGACAAGTCAAAGATTAATATTAATACTAATAGTAAATAGTAATAAGAATATAATAATACATAGTGTGCCAAATTATAATATATGATAATAATAATAATAATAATGATAATAATATAGTAATACAGAGATAATAATATGACAGTATAATTAGTCTTGAAAACAGTTTCCGTGGTCTTAAATCCTCCATATCTCCTATTGTATGTACCTTTACTGGTGGTAATGCCTATGGAGATTTGATGGAATGTATGCATAGCCTGTATATTTTAACACATTCAGGACCGGAGGGGCCAACTGGCCCTCTACGTTTCTATAGCATTGCGGACCGGGCGGGCCAATTGGCCCTTTTCTGACGCGTTATGTTGCAACCGACTATATCTCGCTGTGTGGCCACATTACATCATAACTACTGCATAGTTGACCTCGGGAATGTTTGCTAGCTTAGCAAGTAACATGATCACGCTCATTTCCTGTCATACCCTAAAGAAAAAGGCCTTTGTTCGAGTCCATGCTGCCACGTATGAACCAGGAAGTTAGCAGTGCAACATGGATCAGAGACGAAAGCAGTTGCAGACGAAGCGTTCTCTCGGAGAACAAGAAATATTAGATTTGTTCTCCAATGAACTATCAGATTTGCCAACTGCTTCGTCTTCTGATAGCGAGGCCAGCCTCAGTGAAAGTGACAGTGACAGGGGCCACAGGGCCCCCCGAAATATTGTGTCCAGTGAAATTGAAAGCTCCGATGAAAGTGCGAGCACTCGGACAGCCACATGGGGTAAAGTGGACAAAACCCCCACTTTGGGTAGGTTTACTGGTGATCCGGGGGTGAAGCGGATGCCATCAGACCCAACGGATGTGTCTGAAGTTGCGTCACTGTTTTTTTGGAGGTAGTTTCTTTGACCTGTTATGTCAGGAGACTAACAGATACTATCTCCAACACTGTGAGGCATAGGACCGAACCTATAAGGTGTTGAAGTGAGTGGATGTCACTTCAACAGAAATGAAAAAAATTTTTGGCTGTGATCATTCTAATGGTGCTTATGAAGAGAGATACTTTGAAGGATTATTGGTCAAATGACCCATTTTCGGCAAACTCATGAGTCGTAAGAGATTTGAACAGATATGGTGGTGTTTGCATTTCAATAATAATGAAGTGCAACCACAACCAATGGGCAGGCTTTTCAAAATTCAGCCCTTATTAGACATTTTGGTTGAGAAATTTCAGACAGTTTATAAGCCAGAGCAACAACTGTCTTTGGACGAATCTGTGATTTCTTGGAGGGGAAGGCTTCGTATTCGAACGTTTAATCCTGGGAAACTCACAAAGTATGGCCTACTTGTTCATGTAGTCACGGAAAGCACTTTAGGCTATATACGAAATTTATAAATTTATTCTGCTGAAGGCAAGAAATTGCAAGAAACTACTGTTTCTGTTTTGGGACCCTATCTGGATCAAAATTATCACGTTTATCAAGATAAATATTACAACTGTGTGGCAACTGCAGAATACCTACTTTCAAGGAAGTATTTGTGGTACAATGAGGGTGAACAGAGGCCTTCCTTCAGATCCGAAAGAGGAATGTAAATGCCTGAAACGTGGTGACACCACATTCAGGAGGAAGGGGGACATTCTTCTTCAGTCCTGGAAGGATATTCGCGTTGTGAATATGGTTTCCACTATTCACAATTCGAGTATGGTTGATGGTCAGAGATGCTATGGGCAAGTGAAGAAGCCTCTTTGTATTTCCGAGTATAATATGTTCATGAAGGGAGTTGATAGGGCCAACCACTACTTGGCCTATTATTCCCTTCCCAGGAAAACAGTAAAATGGACAAAGAAAGTTGCACTGTGGCTTATAAACTGTGCACTTTTCAATTCATTTTCAGTTTTCAAAAAGGTGAACAGAAATTCTACTTTGAAATACAAAGCATTATTGTTGAACTTGGCAAAAGCTTGGGCTATGTAGTGCAGCCAGGGCCATCTGTTCGCACCCGCTGGAGGCCTCATGTGGACCCCCCTGGACGACTCTCGGGTGATATGCGGAAACATACCCTCGTGAGAATTGTGAAGAGTGAACATTGCAAGAAGAAGTACCCTTCTAGGCAGTGCTGTGTGCGCGCAGTCCACAAGAAGAGTAGGACTGCGTACATCTGCAACTTCTGCGTGATGCCTTTTCACAAAGGGGAATGTTTCCAGAGATATCACACGCGCAAGCACTTCTAGGAGCTCTGGTAAGTGTTCTCCAAAAATTTTAGTTCATAAAATTAATTAGGAGATTTTATATTAATTTTTGAAGTGAACAGTGCAGAAGTTAGGGTGCTAGGCTTAAAAACCCCAGTCCCCAGGGTGATTTAAATATTTAAACAACCGGTCCGCAATGTGTTCATATATTGATATAGTTATATATAACTTATGAGTGAGATGGAATGTTATGTGAGATTTAGTTTTATATGCCACAAAACCAAGTAGGATGGTGTCGTGGTAATACTCCATACTTATATTTATGAGATGCTTTGTTTGAATCCCAGCTGGGACACTATAGTCCGTAGAGAATTTTTTTTGTGACTTTCCTCAGGCAAGTGGTGTGATGGTACCTTGATCAGGCCATGGTCATTTCCTTCCAATTCATTAATAACCATCCATTCTTTGACGCTGTAGTATGAGAATCATCTGACAGCATTGTAATATAAATCACACAAACATGTATCCCATCAAGAACAAGACTAACATATTAGTAATTGTTTGTTAAGAATATTGTTTGAAGTAATGAATAATTAAATGGACACACACATATGATATTCAGAATGAGCATCAATCAATCAATTTATTTGTTCCAAGAATCCATATTTGGTGATACAACCCCCAGATAGAGAACAAGTCAACAGCTACATATTAATATAACATACATATTGTACACGAGTCAACCGTGCTATAAAACTTAACTACCTACAGATTTCACACACATCAGTCATACATCTTCCCATTTGCAACAATTCAATAACCAAAACGAACCTTGTATCCCCAATTTTATATTTTTTAAGCCATCAGATATAGAACATGTCACATACATATATTAGTTCTGGGCACAGAATTAGGCTGATAATTATCAGATTATTAGGCTTTGTAAGCAGATTTTACTATACACAATCATTAGATTCATCGCTTGACATCACGTGTTTATTGTTAGAAATCTTGGTTTAAGCTTTGATTAATAATGTGCTTGTCTTCCACTGCTATTAATACTACAGTGAGCCTTCCATGGACTGCAGCATATAATGGGGGCTTTGTAACTTGGTTGACCATATGAATGGCCATTTAGGACTTGAAATGACCTGCATTTGTACTAGCATATGACTAGTCCATCTGTTAAGCATGTGGTTAGCAAGTCGGGATTTGAACTCAGATTGTCCAGGTAAACATTCCTTGCACCAAAAATAATACTAGGTTATGTCCAATGTAACCATTTATACTCATACAAAGTGTCTTAATATTTTAATTTATCTTTAAACATCATAAATCCATAAGTCAGATTTATGTGAATGATGTGACTCAGAGCCTGACTTCACATAACTTAAGCAGTTGTAAATTTAATGTCATTATTTTTACGTTGGTATCTCTTTGCTGAACTAAAGCACTATAAACTGAAATTCGGAAAAACTGTGTCACTTTGTTATTGAATTAAATTTTTACAAAGCTTTAAACATTTACCTTACTGGTAAGTAGAAAAATATTGCTCTTTGGAAATATTTCCTTTATTTTTGTATAATTGCACATGATGAAAATTAATTTTGGTTTCTTAAAACATTGCATCTTAGTGATGGGGACTTACTTCTGACATATGAAAACAACACTCATTTCAAAATCTTCTAGATGTAATGGCATATTTATACAAGGTTTCCATTTCACGACACTGCCATGCTGCCTAAGCCAGTTGGACTCCCCGATAAACTCAGGAGTCATTTTCCAACCTCATTTGCAGTGTTGTAAATTGAAGACTGTGTTTTGTTAAAATACAAACAAAACACTAACCTGATTTAACTTGATTCTTTCAGGGAGCACAAACAACTCTTTACTGCGCCACATCAGAAGAGCTAGACGGGAAATCAGGGGTTTTCTTTCATAACCGTAATTTTTGTTAACTGAAAATGGAATATGATTCTGCTGTTGCCAAGAGACTGTGGGAAGTTACAACAAATATGGCTGGTTTGAATAATGACCAAAGTAGACCAATGTAAAATGGTTTGGATTGATTTTATTCAGTTGTAAGCTTACCTTTCTGGGCTTTTAGGTATGGAAATGTCTTAAAAGGGGGTTATGTTTCATTTTATCCATTGGAAAGGTTACATTCAACATAGAAGGAAGATTTGCAATAAGTTGTAATTCAGTTGGAATGAACAAATTTAACAAAGAACTTACTGAAAGTATGAAGCACATGAAGCTGAACTATGATACCCTGGTCTCTTTTTCCATGCTGTCTGAGCCTTTTTCAGTTCATTCATCTGAAGTGTATTTGTTTTCAAGCAGTGAGTATAAATCTACTGCAAATGGAATTGTTATACAGACTCACTGACAGGCACTGTAAAGGAGAGAGTATGTTTGATTTCTAGACTCGATGTACCATATTTCGTGAGCATTCTCCAAACAGTCTGGAAAGAATTATATGTGATTTGTTGTAAATGCCATTTCAGTAAATTATGATTGTGGAGACAGTTTCTGTTTCAAAAGGTTATAATAATTTTACATGTTATCTTAAGCATTTAGGAAATTATGATGCCCTTTACTACCTTTGTGATACTTGCCACTGAAATGAGAGGGTCTTTGTATTACTCTGGAGTGTATATGCTTTCATTCACATCTTATGTGATCAAAATTTGTTAGGTTCTGGGTTTTTTACTGGTAACAATAATATGTTTTAAATATTAAGAATATGCTGATTTTGTGTTGGGTCTAGCTGAAAGTGTTTTCAGATGTTAAACAGCAATTTGACATATTTTCTTTAATGTGACGTTTGAAATGGTATGATATACGTTGAAACAAAAGGTAACAGGCTGTGGAGGCCCCTAGGTTCGTGAGACATCGAGGCAACAGATGGCAGTGAGGTTGTGAGCCTTATGTGCCAGCCACCCTTTACCCCTAGGGCCATACTATGGTTGGAAGGATTAGATCAGCTGAAAAATCTGATGACATCAGGAATCAAACTTGCAACCTTCCAGCTTGTAGCATACTGCCTCAACCAACTATGCTACTGCATGCCCAAATGACATGATATACACAAAGATAAAGTTTCTCCTGGAATTAATTGAGCAAAAGTAAAGCTTCATGCATCCTTAACCTAAGCACTAGATGGACGTGGATGATTAGCTTTGTGTCTATACAGCTTTGCGCCCCAAAGAAAAGGGCTCAACTACCCACTGGAGGGTGAGCCCCAGAACTGATCTGGCCACAGTGGGAAAGAGAAATCTCTGTCCCTGCATAGTCACATTAATTAATATTGTAATGTGTTGCACAATATTATTCTGAAATTTATTGTAGAACAGAACTCTTGTGTTAGATCACATTGGGTTCTAATTTCAAGAAACTGACTTTAGGGTACATTTAATGTGTATTGTGGAAATTACTCATGTTTACACAGTCTATGAGTTTCAAAAAATTATGCAATATGAGAAACACTGTACAAAATGAAAGCTAGATAGCATATTTGTAATCTTTATGTACAATGTGTATAGATTGAATAATCACTTTCTTGTGGTAGGATGTTTAGGCATTAAAAAAAATATGGAAAAATATTTTGTGTAATTTTTTTAACCCATTAGAGCATTTGCTCTTTTGCATGAATTTATACCAGGGGTTCTTGTACTAGGAACTACCAATGAAATGAAATTACAAACATATTGAGTTCCAGTGCTTGAGGTGGAATGAAAATAGAACCGGGATGCCATCCCGCCCCACCTCAAGCCCTGGGTATTGTACATTGCATTTACTGCCAAAGAAGTAACAGGATGCTTTCAAGCCATTTAGAAAAGAACTGTGATGCCATCCCGCCCCACCTCAAGCCCTGTTGAGTTCTGATATATGCTATATTTAATTCTCTACTGTCCACACATTCTTGGCCATCAAAATATGTTGTGATTTGTGTGTGGAATATAAAAGCTAGAATTTAGGAAGGTAGCAACTATCATGTTTGATAAAATACTATTCCATCCATGTTTCGTGGAAATTAACATTTAAGAAAAGAAAGAGAATAACATTTTTAGGCAGCTTTCAGTGGAGAACATTTTATTGTATGCTGGAGGAAATGTTTTGGTTGTTGTTCTGTGTAAAATATTAATTTCATATAATTTCGTTAGACCTTGTCATTTGGGTATGAAGGGAATTGTATGATCATGAAAATGTCTGAATGAAACAGAAATGCAGGCAACCCACAGAATATGTTTGTTTAGAAATTCATACTGCTTTTATACTTCCACACAGTTACATAATAAATTGTTGCTCGTTTTGTTGTTCATCTTAAGCCGCTATTAGATAAATGCGATATCCATACAAATAACATATTATGTACGCGTAATTCTCTGCGACTATTTCGTAAGTCGCGTTCGTCATATACACGGAACCAATCACACTGACCGACAAAGCCGACAAACAAGTTCAAAGTCATTAGCTGTAGACTACGTCAAGACCTGAATAGTAATTACAATACAGTATCTGGTAGTTACTTTTCTATTACAGTGCCAGCATAGAACGGAGCTTGTAGGAGCTGAGTCTCTGTATCGTGTACTGTTTGTGTTCCTGCATGAAGATCTTTCTTGATAAAAGTTACAATGTCTGTAAACAACGCTTCGTCGACTTCTGTTATTAACTTCGGAGCCGGTCCAGCCAAACTACCAGAGGAGGTAAACTTCTTTACGTCACTGTGGTACAGGCACTGAACTAATGTTACGCAGGCAGTAGTTATCGCTGAAGAGAAGGTGGTTGTTACAGTTAGGAATTACTAAAACTGTATCTTAGCAATATTTATCCTTTTTTGTATCGTTCCACGCATTTATCAATGTATTTACCAAACTATCCTATCTATGTTTGGTCCGTTATTCTTTCAAGGACAAATAGGCTAATTTAAATGTAATTCGAATAAGATGATATTCCCGGTAGCAGCCTATTTTCTAAGGAATGCATCCGACAGCCAATTTTATGTTGCATAATTTTAGCAAGACGTTTAATATCGTATGGGATACCATTTGTAATTATTTTTTTACATGTTTTTCATATTTTGTAAAAGAAAGTAGGCCAATAGTATAATATGTCTATGCCCCATAACACACTTCCAATAAATTGATGCATTTTTATTAAATTTGGTATGAAGATGCCATTAAGAGGCCTTGAAACTTTAATTCCGAAATGTTTGTAACAGTAGCATGGCGGCATTTCGAATTTCTGACGGAGTGACAATAGCCCCCGAAATCTTGCGTGGATTTTAAAAACACGAAACTTTCGTTTGTGGGATGTACCACACATATGATATAAAATACCAACATGACTGTGTAATATCCATATTTAGTTTCCTTTCTGAGAGTAATAACTAGGGCCCGGATTTTTTGAAAATGCATATGCAAATGCAAATTTTGAGGGGTTTTGGTCGTTATTGCATATTCTAAACGTAACAGCATATTTCTGCATAAATGTTTGAAATTAAGGATAATTTCAATATTCCCTAACAATCGGGTTTTCCTGTGTTTTGGACATCACTTGCCAGTTGCTATTTTCAACTCTCTGAGTAAGGGCACTTTTACCACTTACAATACAAGCAGGTAGCTTGGCTATTTCGAAAGTGAGGGGGAGCGATTTTCCTGCATTCCATTGACTACCACAGCAGACAGTAGCATCAGAGGGTTGGTCTCGAGAGAAGCCTCTTCAGTTAATGTGTTACTCTTTTCTTTAATAGTCTGCATCAGAAAAGTGTTCGTGTACTGAAAATGCCTACAGAAAAGTGCAGCAGTAGATATTTAAAAATTCGGTGGGTAGGGGGTAAAAGTGACTGTTCAACAGACGGTGTCGTCGTGTACTGTCAAGTGTGCGCAAAGGAAGTAAAATGTGAAAAGAAATTTCAACTTGAACAACACTCAGGAACGACTGCACATATTATGGAAAATAAGGAGAAGAAGAACAGCACACCACAACTACTTTTTTTTTCTTTGGCACTACAGCCCCAGTGGGCCTAGGCCTACCTCCATGAACTTCTCCGTTCACTTCGGTTTTTCTAGATCTTAGACATACTTTAATAATTTTTTTTTAGATATAAGCAATTCTACGAAGAAATGGACAAATAATACTGTGAAAACAGATAACAAGTTCATGGACTATTTATACACTTCATTTCCAAAACCATCTCAGAAATTGGTATTAAAAGCAACTAATAGCAATGAAATAGAAGAGATAATAAGATCTATAAAACTTAAAGCAGCTTGTGGATACGATGGAATTACTACCAAATTAATAAAAGCAAGTGCACCATATATATCATCACCATTAACTTACATAATTAATAAGTCATTGTCTACAGGAATATTCCCTGCACTTTTAAAATATTCTGAAATAATACCTATACACAAAAAAAGGGGATAAAACCGACATGTCTAATTATAGACTTATATCTTTACTCCAAATCTTTTCTAAAATTGTTGAAAAAGTTATATATAAAAGAATGTTTTTACACTTAAATACACATAACATGCTAACGCAGGAGCAATTCGGCTTTAGAAAATACTCAACTACATTAGCTACTTATAATCTAATGGAGAATATTTGTAGGGCTTAAAAACAACAAATATATAGCGGGTGGAATTTTTTGTGATCTGAGTAAGGCTTTTGACCGAGTAAATCATGATATATTGCTATCAAAAATGGAATTTTATGGAATTGAAGGAGCTGCTCAGAAACTTATGAGATCCTATTTAAGAGGAAGATACCAGAGAGTAATTTTGTATGAAAACGGGAGTAAATGTTGTTCTGAATGGAAAGGAATACAGTGCGGAGTGACTCAGGGCTCTGTATTAGGCCCAGTGCTCTTTTTACTATAAGTAAATGAATTACCAAAAGTTATATCTGACCTGTCCAAAGCAATATTATTTGCAGACGATACAAGTATCCTTATCTTTGCTAAGAATCCTGCGAAATTCAAAATCAGAATAAATAAATTATTTGAGATGATAAATGAATGGTTTAGGAAAAATGAGCTAGTAATAAATTATGAAGAAACTTATTTTCTACAGTTTAGAACTAAAAATAGTAAAAACTTAAATGTTCAGGTTAGTTATTTAAACAATGAAATTCCAAGTATTTCTAATATATCGTTTCTGGGATTAAAAATTGAAAATTTTTTAACGTGGGAAAGTCATATTGATGCAGTAATTGATAAGTTAAACAGATCCTGCTTTGCAATCCGATCAGTTAAATCCTTTTTACCACTGGAGACGTTAAAAATGATGTATTTTTCCTATGTACATTCTATAATAACGTATGGATTAATATTCTGGGGTAACTCCCCACATAGTATAAAAGTGTTTAGGATGCAGAAAAGGATAATTAGGATTATGACAAATACAACAAAGAGAACATCGTGTCGTAGTCTGTTTCAAGAATTGGATATCCTCCCCCTACAAGCTCGATATATATTGTCGATTTCCCTGTTTGTTATTAGTAAATAAGGAATTATTCACATTCAACTCACAAATGCATAATTGTAGTACCAGATCTATCTGTGATCTGCATTATCCACAAACAAGTCTAACACAATTCCAAAAAGGAATATGTTACATGGGGGTGAAGATCTTTAATCATTTGCCACCAAAAACCAAATCTATGTCTAATGACTTGAAAATGTTTAAAATTCAGTTGACAACATTTTTATTGCAAAACTCTTTTTACACATGAGATGAATTCTTTAGTAACAAATTTGCCTACAAATAAGGATAATAACATAAACAATTTTAATATTGCATAATTTTACGTATAGTGATGTAACACTGTTTTTTGATTATAAACTGTACATATGTATTTATATTTGTATTGTACTATATTAGCTATGTGACTGGTTCTATATCTATGTATATGGATTTATGGAATATGCAATAAATGAATGAATGAATGAGCAGTAGTACTCCTTGGGCGGGTGATCAGCTCGTCGCAAGGCCTCTACCTGTACACAAACATTGAAAAACGCACACAAACATCCATGCCCTGAGTGGGATTCGAACCCACGATCCCGGCTTCCGAGCGAGCGAAGACAGAGCATGCCTTAGACCGCTCGGCTACCGTGACCGGCACAACTACTTCTTACACAGGTCAAACCCCAAGTCCTCTGTTAATACAGTTTCAGCTGATCTTTGTAAGGCTTTAGTATGCAGCAACATTCCATGGAATAAATTAAGCAATCCAGTTGTGCGATCATTTCTGGATAAATATTGTACATCGGAGGGAACTAATTCTGGATATAGATGGATGAGGCAACAGTCTTATGTGGCCGATACATAGCAAATTTCGTAGTTGGTAAGCTACATCCAGACGAACCCGACAAACCTCATCTTCTTGCTTGCAAAGTACTAGAGAAAACCAACCATAGCACAATAACAAGAGTTGTAAATGATTCTCTGCGACTACTATGGCCATCTGAAATTGAGAATAATTGTTGTAAGGTGCTTGTGTTACTCACAGATGGAGATTCCTTTATGCTGAAAGCAGCAAAGGCCTTACAAGTATTTTATTCAAATCTTATACACGTAACCTGTTAAGCGCACGGATTACACCGTATTGCAGAAAAAATACGCGCATAGTTTCCAGCTGTTAACGATTTAATTGCAAGTGGGAAAAACTGTTTCTGAAAGCACCAGCTCGTGTCCAGTTCTACAAAGATTGCCTACCTCAGGTTCCTCTGCCACCTGAACCTGTCCTAACCAGGTCAGGGACGTGGTTATCCGCAGTTTCATTTTATCAGGAGAATTTCAGTCAAGTAAAAGAAGTGGTTGCAAAACTTGGAGATGAATATGAATGTGTCCATGAAGCAAAAGTGGTGTTAGGAAGTGATACTGTTTATCAAGATGTGAATTTTATCCATGCACATTTTTTCTACAGTTTCAAAAGCCATTGAGATCTTAGAATCTTGTGGTGCACTCCTTCACGACGTCCAAGTCCGTTCACGACTCACTTGAACTCGTTCAGAAAGCAACTTGTTCACTGAATTTCGCTCCAGGCGAAATTGGAGAGACGATAAAATGCGATTTATAAATTGTGTTGAATTCGAACCCAGGACTAAAAAAGATTCAGTCAGTTAGTCAGTACTTGAGTGGAATCAGGGTATCTTTGCCAAATGAATGTTCTGAACCTTCGGCGCCAATGTATAAATACTGTCCAATCACGTCAGTTGATGTAGAAAGATCATTCTCAGCCTGTAAACTCATTTTGACGGACAGTAGACATAGTTTGTCTCCAGAAAACATTGGAAGACTTCTAGTTGCCTATTGTGATGCTGCTTTCTTCAGTGAATGATACATGTAAATAGGTGAGTCTGAATAAAGTGACCTGTTTCTTAAGTGAATATTATTTTATTTTTGGTGCATATTTTCCTGCTTTTTAGCGCATATTTTAAGTGATTTTGGTGCACATTTTAAGTGTTTTTAGCGCATAAAGATCTGGGCCCTAGTAATAACTAATGAACTTTGTAGCTCATGATTTATTCTGACCGTCTTACAGTGCATACATTTATTCACCTTACTCTTCTCTCTTGCACTACATGTTTCAGCACTAAAGTGCCATCTTCAGGTGCTTTTCGATGGCACTTTAGTGCTGAAACATGTAGTGCAAGAGAGAAGAGTAAGGTGAATAAATGTATGCACTGTAAGACGGTCAGAATAAATCATGAGCTACAATCAGTGCAACAGGACGCTAAAATATAACATTATGAACTTTGTAGCTGTTTACGTGAAATTTGGCGTTGAAAATATCTTTAATATTAAGTAAGATTTGAGGTTTTCACGGCAGTGACTATGAAGAAAGCAGTCTTCTGGGATGTGGCGCCGTGTATATATTGTGTTAACCGACGTTTCGGAGGAACGTATCGCGTCTGTTGCACCTGCTCACGATGGTTCGCTCGCGGATTTCTTCTTGTCTTCTACCCTGAAGATAGAGGCGATACGTTCCACCGAAACGTTGCTTAACACAATATATACACGGCGCCACATACCAGGAGACTGCTTTCTTCATTTTTATTATTGTTCTAAAGTTGTATGGCGATGTTACAATTTTAAAATGTGGGCACCATGAACACCAGTAAGGGTGGGGGGAACAAATTTGGCACCTCCCCCCCCCAATGGTTTTTAGAACAGAATCAAAATTGAAGAAGGAAATATATATTCTTAATAACAATTAAAAGAATGGATAAAAATGTTATTCTTCTGTCCTGAATGGCTCCAAAATAATTTGTAAGCAAATTTTCATGTTCATAGAGGGCCTAATTTGGATTTTCAGTATAGATAGCAAGGACACCAATAGGGAGCATAGAATGTGATTTGGAACTTAATTTATTGAAGAACTCAGCTGTTCTTTAATTTGAGAGAAGTTCTGTAGCTAATAACAAGTTGTAAATCAGAAATCAACTGTAAAGTACTGAGATAAAAATTAATAGGAAACTGAAAAGACATAATATAGAGTTAACATTTGTTCTTCCAATATTTCAGGTTCTGCAAGAAGTACAAAGAGAATTAATTCATTATGGCACAACCAACATTAGTGTCATGGAGTTGAGTCATCGCTCTGCAGACTATGCTCTCATCAATGATGGTGCCCAACAGGTTGTCAAAGACCTACTGTGAGTACATCTACTGCCAGTATCATGTAGCATTTTACTGAGAGACTTATGTTTCTCAAAGGAATATGGGTGATAAATAGCTACAACAGAAGATCAGCATTAAATTTTGAGTTATAGTGGAAGTAAAAGGCTTCTAATCTGCTGTCAAAATTACACAGTTCCCTTGTTTTATGAACAATTATTTATTTTACAAATTACATATAATAGCATTTGCAGAATTTATATAATTTATTTTGGAATTTATGACAGACTTTGTCACATACATGAAAACATATCAGCCCAGATATCTCTCACACAGTCACTGAGTTACTGTGGACTGTCAGAGTGTAAAATTTATGCTGCTTTTTGTTTGTTTGTTAAACTGGCAAACCATACTACAAATAATTATTAAATGTGCTTTTATTCCATTACATTTATTAAGCTTTCTGATGGTGGGTATTTCTTGGGTGTAGAGAATGACTTAATACTTCTTTTTGCTTGAAATCTAACAGATATGGACAACACTAAGTTAAAATGTGACAGTCTTAAATCTTTGTATGAGCCCAGTGTTATCACTCACTCACTCACTCACTCACTCACTCACTCACTCACTCACTCACTCACTCACTCACTCACTCACTCACTCACTCACTCACTCACTCACTCACTCACTCACTCACTCACTCACTCACTCACTCACTCACTCACTCACTCACTCACTCACTCACTCACTCACTCACTCACTCACTCACTCACTCACTCACTCACTCACTCACTCACTCACTCACTCACTCACTCACTCACTCACTCACTCACTCACTCACTCACTCACTCACTCACTCACTCACTCACTCACTCACTCACTCACTCACTCACTCACTCACTCACTCACTCACTCACTCACTCACTCACTCACTCACTCACTCACTCACTCACTCACTCACTCACTCACTCACTCACTCACTCACTCACTCACTCACTCACTCACTCACTCACTCACTCACTCACTCACTCACTCACTCACTCACTCACTCACTCACTCACTCACTCACTCACTCACTCACTCACTCACTCACTCACTCACTCACTCACTCACTCACTCACTCACTCACTCACTCACTCACTCACTCACTCACTCACTCACTCACTCACTCACTCACTCACTCACTCACTCACTCACTCACTCACTCACTCACTCACTCACTCACTCACTCACTCACTCACTCACTCACTCACTCACTCACTCACTCACTCACTCACTCACTCACTCACTCACTCACTCACTCACTCACTCACTCACTCACTCACTCACTCACTCACTCACTCACTCACTCACTCACTCACTCACTCACTCACTCACTCACTCACTCACTCACTCACTCACTCACTCACTCACTCACTCACTCACTCACTCACTCACTCACTCACTCACTCACTCACTCACTCACTCACTCACTCACTCACTCACTCACTCACTCACTCACTCACTCACTCACTCACTCACTCACTCACTCACTCACTCACTCACTCACTCACTCACTCACTCACTCACTCACTCACTCACTCACTCACTCACTCACTCACTCACTCACTCACTCACTCACTCACTCACTCACTCACTCACTCACTCACTCACTCACTCACTCACTCACTCACTCACTCACTCACTCACTCACTCACTCACTCACTCACTGAGCTGAGCCCTTCTTGAGAAGCTGCCGATTGTGCAGCTGCTCAAGACCTTCCCAGCATTTTATGGAACCCAAAGAACTGTGATAAAAACAATTTAAATTTTATTAACACTATAAATCGATGATGAGCAGACCCTTTTCATGATAGATAATTTAGAAATCTCAAAACCCTGTCTTTGCTGCAACAAAACATATATTTTTGTTTTTATTTAACAAATTAATAATACAAGATAAGAATATTCTTATTGCTTACACTTTTAATTTTTTGAATGGAAGAACATCACTGAGAAATTTAATACTGCTTCTGTGCTACCAACCTCTGATGCTTGTAATTAAATAGTGTTTCCTTTCAGCTCTCAGGCCACAATGGGAAAAATCTGGTAGATCATGTGCAGTCTTGGGACACTTCTCACTATCACTTTAGAAGTTTCCCAGTCAACAATTTAGAAAATGAAATAGCTTTAGTAACAATTTATTTTCATATTTCAGGAACATTCCAGACAATTACAAGATCCTGTTGATGCAGGGTGGAGGCACAGGCCTATTTGCTGCTGTACCATTGAATTTCATGTCTGAGACAGGCTGTGCGGACTACATTGTAACAGGCAAGTTATCAGAAAAGGAATATTATAGTGACAAGGACTGTGTTTGATGTAATGGTATGTACTTATCAATATTGCTCTTTTTATAGGAGCTTGGTCAGCAAAGGCAGCCAAGGAGGCAGCGAAGTATGGCAAGGTGAATATGGTCCTGCCCAAAAGTGACAGCTATGTGGACATTCCTGAACAAAATACCTGGAATCTTAGCCCTAATGCTTCATATGTCTACTACTGTGCCAATGAGACTGTTCATGGTAAGTTCATCTTTGTTAACATTTATCAGTTGGACATAAATTTAAAAAATGAAATGCTTGGCCTGCTGAGCCAGCACATGAACTAACAGTTTTTAAATGTGCTACTATAAAAGTAAACAAGGCAATAGGAATTTTAATATGGCACCAAAGAAACTAAAAAATCTGTGAGAAAAGCTAAATAAAGACAGCAAAACAAAGCTATTTCCAATAAAAATGGTTTGTTTTCTACATATACCAGATGGCTAAATTAGTTAACTGATGTTTATATGTGGCTTATTTATTTGTCTGCTCCCTCTTCACATCACAGGGCCCTGATCTGTGGTCTCAGTTTGCTTCCTCATGTTTTCAAAGGTTTATCTTTATGGTAGGCATTCTCCTCAGCCGTTGTACTGTATAACAAAAACAAACAAAAATAAACTGTGCTTTTAGTCTGCGAGCGAACTATACCGACCGAGCGACCATCGCTTGTCGGCAAAGTTTAGTGCCAACTTTTGCGGATAGAGGGTGTCGCTATTTCCTTGAAATAGCTCCTCAATTATCATCTTGAGGCTGAGTGCACCCTGTTCCAGACCCACCACTTTTCAGAAAAATCTGATAGCGCCGGGAATCGAACCTGGACCTCTGGATCTGTGGCCAGGAACGCTGACCGCTAGACAACAGTGCAACAGTGTTTTTTAAATATAAAATAGGGCCTTCACATGTTTTGACCAATGATGACTGTCATCAGAAGATGACTAACACTTCAGTGGAAATGTGTCACACATATTACATGCATGCATGCATTGTCTTTTATGGGTAAAACACTAGTATTAAAATGCTCTGTTAAAAGTAATAACAAATAACAAACTGTGATCTTTGGCTGAAATATGTAAAGGCTCTGTTTTGTTTTTATTAAAAATAACATTGTCCTGCTTTGTGGAATTTAATCCTAATTTTACTTAATTATGTTTTCAAAACTTTTCCAGAAAAAATTTCCAAAATTAAGAAATTGTAATAATTTGTTTGAAATTAAAGTTGCAAAATTATCTTTTTCATATCAAACCTAAAAAATAAAAATACAATAATGATTAAATATAATTAAGAATATTCATGTAGAAAATATAAGACATGATGATTTAGTATTAATATTGGGATTATAAAATTGTAAACACAGGGAATTATTTCATAATATAACAAACAAATGAGATAAATATGTGGAATAAGTCACTGGAAAGATAAGAGCACACTGTATTTATATTGATGAATTTTTGTTGCAGTTAGAAGTTCCTTTCATTGTCCCTTTTCCTTCATTGCAGGAGTGGAATTTCCTTTTATCCCAGATACTGGAGGTATTCCTCTTGTGGCTGATATGTCTTCTAATATACTATCCAGGCCCTTGNTGTAGGCTGTACTGATGTACTGATTCAACAAATGTACATCATTTCTTGGTAGAAACGTATGTAACATATGAGTTACAGGAAGTTTATAAGTGTACTGTCATTTACTACCAAACATTATATGGTGCTGTCAGCTGAAATATTTATATTGTCTAAATCTCAAAATGTATCTTAGGGGAAGCTATGACTTCTCAGCCAATAAAATGTTAGAAAATGGAGTCATTGTTTCCTTGGGTGTAACGATAGCTGGAATGCGAACCTGACCACCTTGTGTCATCTGGTGCCAGGGTTAAGAATTTTTTTGAATTGAATTTATTTACATTCTATAAATCCTAAGCAGGTTAGTACCTTTGGATACAGAACAAGTCAAAATGTTACATACATAAGTACAGGCAATTTTAGCTTAAAAATTAATATAACTTAATTTTACATCATTCTCTATTTACATTGAAGTATTCATCTAAAGAGTAGAAGGAATGAGCATGTAGATAATTCTTTAACTCTGATTTAAACTTTTTAGTATCATTGCCCAAGTTTTTAATACTTTGTGGCAGATTGTTGAACACTTTTATGCCAGTAAAGTAGACTCCTTTTTGATATACTGATAAAGTTGATGAGGGTAGGTGGAAGTTATATTTTTGTCTAGTATTCATGTTATAGACATCAGAATTTAATTTGAATTTATCTTTGTTGTAAACAACAAATAAGAGAAGCGATAATATGTATTGCGATTGAAGAGGTAGAATTTTTAATTTCTTAAATAATTCTCTACATGAATCTCTACTTCTACATCCTGTAATGATTCTAATTATATTCTTTTGTATTTTAAAAATTATTACACTATGTGAAGAGTTCCCCCAAAATATTAATCCATAGTTCATAATAGAATGAAAGTAGGCATGGTAAACCATCTTCAATGTTTCCTGTGACATAAAAGGCTTAATTGATCTCATCGCATAGCAAGCTGCATTTAATTTAGGTATAATTTGTTCAATATGTATTTTCCAAGACAGTGTACTGTCTACATGTATTCCAAGGAATTTTGTATCAAGTACTTTACAGATTAATTTGTTGGCATAACTGATGTCCAGATCAATTTGGTGGTTGTTTTTAGTTGTGAATGATATGTAATGGGTTTTATCAAAATTTAATGAGAGTAAATTGGCTTCGAACCATCTGTTTAAGGCTTCAAATACAATATTTATGTCATTTTTAAAGTTTTCAAATTTAGAGTTCTTAAATATTATACTAGTGTCATCTGCATATAGAATTGGTTTAGATTTATTGTTGATGGTTTTAGATAGATCATTTATGTAGAGAAGAAAAAGTAAGGGACCTAAAATTGATCCTTGTGGAACACCGTGCTTTATAATTCCCCAGTTTGAAAATGCATTATGACTGGAGTTTTTATTATTTATTTCAACTCTTTGATACCTGTTTTTGAGGTATGATTTGATCCATTCATTAGCTTTGCCAGTTATTCCATAGAAATTTAATTTCGATAGTAAGATATCATGATTAACACAATCGAAAGCTTTTGCTAGATCACAGAAAATCCCTCCCACAATTAATCTGTCATTGAGAGCACTTAAAATATCGTTAGTTAGTTCATAGGTTGCTTTTTCTGTTGTTAGGTCTTTCCTAAATCCAAATTGCTCTTTGACTAATATGTTGTTAGAATTTAAGTGTTCAAGTAGTCTATTATACATAACTTTTTCAAAGACTTTTGAGAATGAAGTCAATATGGATATTGGTCTGTAATTAGAGATGCATTTTCTCTCTCCTTTTTTAAAAAGTGGTTTCATTACAGCGTATTTTAAGCGTTGAGGAAAAGTACCTGATGATAAAGATTTATTACATAGATGATTCAAGGGTGAACTGATGTAAACAGAGCTTGCTTTAAGTAATTTGGTAGAGATTTCATCATATCCATGTGAATTTTTGGGCTTAAGGGATTTAATAATGTTTTCAATTTCCTTCCTTGTTGAGAATTTGAGATTGATATTTGGAAATGAATTGTTAAAGGCACGAGACAGATAGTATATTGGATTATTATTATTATTATTATTATTATTATTATTATTATTATTATTATTATTGGAATATGTTTTCTCAGCTAATGAAAGGAAATATTCATTAAATGCACTTGCGATAGCTTGTGGATTGTTAGTGGACTTCCCTTCAATATTCAAACTTTGTACGTCTTCATTAACAGATTTCTTTCCTGATTCAACTTTCACAATATCCCAGGTGGTTTTAATTTTATTGTTTGATTTTAGAATTTGGCTGTTATAGTTATTCTGTTTGGCTTCTTTAATGACTTTTGACAAAATTTTACAGTACATTTTGTAGTGACTTTTTAGTCTTGGATCATTACTGTCCCTACTGGCCAAATATAGTTGTCTTTTGTGTTTACATGAAGTTTTTATTCCAATTGTTATCCAGGTGGATTTGTTTTTATTTTCATTTTTGACTATTTTTAAGGGAAAGCTTGAATAAAAGATCCTCAAGTATGTGTTCAGAAAGCAATTAAATTTAGAATCAATATTACTGCTGTCAAATACATTGTCCCACGATTCATTACTTAATTTTGTGACAAAATCTGCCATCGTATGCTTGTTGATTTTCCTTACTGTTTTATATTGTTGATTACTGGGCTGAAAGTCAATATTATTTATTTCTATGAGTTGAGCATCATGATCGGATAAGCCATTTATAAAGGGTCCTACAGTATAGTCTCTTAATTTTGAGTTATCAATGAATATATTATCTATCGCTGAACTAGAATTATTTTGAACTCTTGTGGGAAAGTTAACAGTACTGGAGAGATTGTAAGATGATAACAAAGAGTCTAAATTTAGTTTCCTATTACTGTCGATGAGATAGTTTATATTTATATCACCACAAATTATAAATTCAACTTTTGAACCATGCAGTACATTTAGGATGGTTTCTAATCTATTTAAAAAGTGATTGAAGTTTCCAGATGGGGCTCTATATAAAGTCAGTATACAAATATTTGAAAAAGGAGAGTCTAACTTTAGAGCACATGCTTCCAGATCCTGGTCTTTGCAATAATCTTCTAAATTTATTTTAGTAAATTTTAGGTTTTTGTGTACAAAAATACTCACTCCTCCTTTCTCCAGTGTTTTCCTACAGTATCTAGCACCTAAATTATAATTTTCTAAGTGAAGATGTTCTAATTCCAGCTGTTTCATGTGATGTTCAGTAAGGCACAGTATGTGTGGAAGATTTGAATTCATGGAGCTTATTAGTTCATTTGTTTTGTTTCTCAATCCTCTTATATTCTGATGGAATATTCTTAGTACTTTATTATTCACTGAATTTAGTAGACTGCAATTACCTTTTCTGATTTCTATTGGTTCACTAACATTATTGTCTGAAAGATTAGTTTCTTTTGCAATTTCTTTTACTTGATAAACTTTACTTGCACTCTTTATCCTAAAAAATGATTCTGAACACCCATGACAACTGGAATGTGTCTGCCCTTAATGCTCTCTGCAATGAGTCGCGTCAGCTTGTCCTTGCCTCGAGGATTAAGATGCAAACCATGGACAGTATGTTTGCTCCTCAATATTGAAGAGACATCAGTCGCATCAATGTGGGCCGTGCCGACCTCCACAAGTGAACCCTCAAGCCGAAGATTAATCTCCAACTCTGTTCCCTTTTAGTCTTCATGGTCTATATTAAGATAGCTTTGCATTTTGAAATAGCTCACAAATTAATATAGAGGTCAATATTATTTAAGTCTGTTATGTACAGATATATATATATCTGTGTGTGTGTGTGTGTGTATGTGCTTGTGCATAGTCTAGAGTTCCTGGCTATGTATCCAGAGGTCCCGTGCTCAATTCCTGGCGCTACCAGATTTTCTGAGAAGTAGAGGGTCTGGAACAGGGCCCACTCAGCCTCGTGAGGATAATTGAGGAGCCATTTCAAAGAAATAGTGACTCTGGTCTAGAAAATCGAGATCCATTGCACTGACCATGTGACACCCTCTGTCTGCTAAAGTTGGCACTAACTTTGCCAACAAGCAGCGGTCACTCGGTCAGTATAGTTCGCTTGCAGACTACAGGCCATGGAGTTTGTGTGCGCGTGTGTCTAGGCAGCACTGATGCATGTAAAAAGCATGGAAGTAAAGCATCAAATGCCTTTCCAGTTTACTCAAATAAAAATGTTTTCGTGAATTTTTAGTGTTGCTCCAGTGAAGTGTTAATTTATCAAGAACTGGTGAAGTACTTTTTTCTGCCAGGGTTTGACTTCAAATAAACTGCTCATTTATTGTGTTACACACATTTAATAATATGCATAAATAATGTAATGTAGTTGTCCATGTACAAGGCTCGTCCACAAAGTAAGTTTCCCTGGGGCCGTTTACAGATACAAAACACAATTTCATGGAAATATTTATTGCAACAGATACAGCAAGTGTTCAGCTATTTTTCAACATAATCGCCACCGGAATTGAGACATTTGTCATACCGTGGGACCAACTTTTGAATACCTGTGTCATAGAAGTCTGCTGCCTGGGATTGGAACCACTGTGTGACAACCATCTCCGCCTCTCTGTCATTCTCAAAATGCTGACGCTCACCGGACAGGAATTTCTTGAGGTGTAGGAAGAGATGGAAATCACTGGGAGCGAGGTCCGGGCTGTAGGGTGGATGATTAAACACCTCCCAGCTGAACTCCTGCAGGAGACTTGCTGTCCGTCAAGCCATGTGCGGCCTAGTGTTATCGTGCAGGAAGACAATACCGGCACTAAGCATCCCGTGCCGCTTATTCTGAATGGCCTGTCGCAATTTCTGCAGTGTTTCACAGTAACGCTCAGCATTCACCGTCTCACCTCTGGTCAGGAAGTCGACATGGAGAACGCCCCGTCTGTCCCAGATTACCGTGCACATCACTTTCCGTGCTGACAACGTCTGCTTGAATTTCGTCTTCCAGGAAGATCCACTGTGACGCCAATGCATTGACTGCTGCTTGGTTTCTGGGTTAATGTGTGCAATCCACGTTTCATCACCTGTGATGATCTGGTCCAGAAACTCGTTGCCGTCATCATGGTACCGCTGCAGAAAGGTCAATGCTGACTCCATGCGCTTTGTTTTGTGTTCTGGTGTCAGTTGCTTCAGCACCCACCTGGCGCATAATTTCCTGAACAACAGGTGCTCTGTGACAATTTCGTGCAACAAGGAGCGGGAAATCTGCAGGACATGACTGCTGAGTTCCGTAATTGTGATGCGACAGTTCTCCATAATGCGTTCCCGCACAAGCTCCACCAGGTCGCCTGTAATGATGAATGGCCGCCCACTGCGCTTCTCATCATGCACACTTTGTCGACCTGCTGAAAATTGTCTGCACCAGCGATGCACCATCTGCTTGCTCATGACGTTAGGCCCATAGACCCGGCACAGCTGACGATGAATTTCGATCGGCGCTATGCTCTGTGCATTCAAAAACTTTATCACTGACTGCACTTCACAGTCGGCGGGAGTTGTAATAAGAGCCTCCATCTTCAACAGCTGCGACGATGCTACTGTGGGAACGTGGGAAATTCCATTTGTGCATGCGCCATGCTACGTCATTGCTCTATCACATACGCGCAGTTGCTTCGCGCAATATAAGGTTTGCTAGCTGTGGGATGAGTGGGAAACTTACTTTGTGGACGTGCTACGTACTTAATTAACACCACACCATGAAGATGAATGGGGAGTGGAGGTATAGCTGCGCCATTTTTCATATTGGCACTAGATGGATGTGACTGGTCAGCATCATGCCCAAACCACTATATTTATAAACACTGTGCCAAATAAAATAGGTCACTCAGCCTCTTTATATACATGAAAGTTATTGCACTATTAGAAGCAGTTAATTACTCTTACTTACTAAATATAATTTATAAAAATAAAAGGTTGCACATCATATGGCTTTTTTAGTATTTAGTGCTGTGATGCTGTTTGGTAATACATATAAATCAATAATCTATCACTTTGCACTTCAAGATATGTATGGTTACCTAGTGATGAAATAGTGGTAGATGGATTACAAATTGTCAATGAATAATCCGTCGAGTGTAACAACGTTCTTAGGTCACTTATTTATTTCACTCGCCTTACATGTTTCGGTTCAAAAGAAATGATCATCAGAGGCACGTTACAAACACATGAAACCACTGGCGTTGTATTGTACACAGTATGTAAGCTGCGTGATCTGCTACAGATGTCGGAGTGTAAAAGCACAACACTTTCTAGTAACGTTGAATGCATGTACACCTCTTGCATTCCATCCAAAGAATGCCCTCAAATTGAGCCGTCAATGTTAAAATATTTAAAAGCTTAAAACATTTGAAATAAAATTTGGCTCCTTCTTGTTGATTCGTCCCGGTGATGGGAATCGTCAACTTGAGGTTGTGTATGCTTTTGGTCGGATGTGTCTTACGCGTTGTGTGTTGTGTACTCCATCAACAATTCAAATTAGTAGATGGATTACTTTATATGTTTATGGTCTTCTTGCAACGCCCAGGCATGCAGGAACAAACATTCATATATGCACACATTTCTGCAAAACACTCTTTTGAAGCTGAAAAATATCAAGGATTTGCTCTTAATGTAGGTAACCTTGTATATTCAAAATAGGAATACTGCTTTTGAGTACTTTTTATTATGGAATGATGGAATATTATGGGCATACGTGTATATTAGAAACTTGTATTAAAGGGTATAAAATAAATTCAGGATTTATAAATTGAAGGTCACATCTTGAAGCACTGTGCACTTCATCACTGACTTATGTTCCAAAGCCCCTTTCATAAGTTGAGTCATTCTTAAGTCAGAACATTCTTTTTCCTCGTAAGAAATAATGTAATTAGCAGTAATTCAAGTATCTAAGCTTATGAACAAACCATACTTAACTTACAATGCTGTGTGTAGTTGATCTTAAGAATGAATATTAAATGCACATTACACATCCCAAACAAAAAAGAGAGAAAACCAAGTAAATGAGAATAAAAATAAACAGATTTTATGCCATTCATATGTTCAGGATGAAGTGTGTTTTAAGGAACAGGAACTTCACACATAAGTAAGAATATTCACTAATAACAGATTCATTTTTCATATCATGAAAGTGAAGACCACATTATACTGTGATCCAGTAGCAATAACAGCTACAAAAATTTTAATAATAAATAAATATGTTAACATATAAAATTATACTGTGATATGAAACAGGGACCGCATATGGGTGACCTAAAATCCAATTAAATTCAAACAGTAGTAAATAATCAATGTAATATATTTAATTTGTTTTAACTTAATCCTTATAAATAAAGATGTAAATGTTCGTTTGTTCAGGATCCTAAATCTCTGAAAGTTCTTCACCGATTGCTTCGAAATTTTGACACAACATTGCATTCGAATGCGCGCGTGTTTTTATATACCTATCATATAGATGTCACACCTGTGACAGGTAAAAACAAGCTTCTTTTGAAAAACAGAATTGGAATTTGGAATTCAGAAGAGTCACCCCTATGGAAACGCTAGAACAGACCGTTGCATAGGAAGTAACAATAGCGATACTGTATCGAATCTCCACGGTTACAACGAATACACTGAGCGTTCCCACAGAGACAACGCAATAACAATGGGTCATTGCGTAGGAATTGCGGAATCAAGAAAGCAGCATTTCCGCGGTTATGACAAAGGCTCATTTGCATAGCAATGGCCGAGGGTATAAAAGGGGGTTGAATTCATTCGCCCAGTCAGTCTTGGAATAGCTGCCGCTGAAGAAGGTTGGAACCTAGACGCCAAGAGATACAGAAGTATTGGCCGAGAGATTGTGTAACCAGTAACTCTAATACTGCAAGTGGCGATAATTGTAAAGTATGCAAGTGAATTACAATAAAGATTCGCTATAATTAATACGACGTAAAGTTATTTGTAGCGTGACATACCCAAACACGCTACATGCATTACTGACACGTGCAACGCGTCACATCCACATCAAAATCGTGCATTAATTGCAATCATATTGACCCCCTGCTCTCCTTCATCTCCAACAGAGTTATGGGAGAAATATAAATTGCACATGGCTGAAGATATTTTCCATCGAATACGCAAGGAAAATTCCAATATGAACATGGATTTCACAGCAGAAATCTGCAACGAAGCGTTGATAATGATTGAAGATTTGTGCTTAGAAATTGCGAACAAAGTTCTCAGTCAATTGGGAATGCCATCACCGAATTGATCTGCTGCTGCTTCGTTCAATGTAGAATTGCGTCGTGAACAAAATTACAGCATGGGTGATCTTTTGTTGTATGTGCAATGAAATATTCCTAAGCTAACACTTGAGCAAAAAGGCATTTACGATCAAATCATGCAAACTGTCAATAACGGGGTTGCAGAAATCTTCTTCTTAGATGCGCCAAGAGGAACTGGTAAAACGTTCCTAATTAGATTGATTCTGGCAGCAATTCGATCCCAAAATGACATAGCCTTAGCTCTTGCGTCGTCCGGAATAGCTGCGACGTTGCTACCAGGTGGAAGAACTGCTCATTCCGCTTTGAAATTGCCATTGAACATGCAATTAATTGAAACTCCCACGTGCAACATTTCCAAAGGATCAGGCATGGGAAAGGTATTGCAGAAATGCAAACTTATTGTTTGGGATGAATGCACAATGGCGCACAAAAAATCGCTCGAGGCTCTTCATCGATCATTGCAAGATTTGCGTTGAAACATCAGACCATTTGGGAATGCATTAATATTACTTGCAGGAGATTTCAGGCAAACATTACCTGTAATTCCTCGATTGACACCAGGGGACGAAATAAATGCTTGCCTGAAATACTCTACTTTGTGGCGACATGTAAAGACATTAAAATTAACTACAGATATGCGTGTCCAGCTGCAAAACGATCGATCAGCTGAGATATTCTCACACCAATTGCTGGAAATTGGGAACGGAAAGGTGCTGGTTGATCTGACCTCAGGACGAATTTCGTTGCCTCATAACTTCTGCAATTTAGTGGCGTCAAAAGAAGAATTGATTGAAAAAGTATTTCCCAATATTCAAACCAATTATAAGAATCACGATTGGCTGAGTGAACGAGCTATTCTTGCGGCCAAGAACAAAGACGTCTACAAACTTAACAATATCATTCAGTCTAACATTCACTGCGAGGCAGTCACATACAAGTCCGTCAACACTGTTGTGGAAGCAGATGAAGCGGTTAATTATCCAACAAAATTTTTTAATTCACTCGATCTGCCACAGCAACACGTGGCTGGGTACAGCTAGTTATAATTAAAATTGATTTGAACATAATGTATTTTATGAGCTGAACCTGGCATTAGCACTATGATGCATATGACCTTCCCCCTAAAAAATTTTAAGCATTGGCCAATGTTTGGGAATAATAGCAGAAAAAGGAGAGTGTTGAAGTAAATGATTTAACTGATTATGACTATAAATTTCCAAAACATGTAAAGCAAAAGCATTACAAATTATGCAACTTATACAGAAATTTTGTGGACAGATCTTATAATAAATAGTTTATACACATATGATACTGAAATGCAATAATACTAATACAGGGATATAATTCCCTATAATATGAAATTAAAGTATAGTTTATTCAATAGATACATGATTGCTTATGTCTGCAGTTTGGAGCGATATTTGCTGGAGCCCAAAAAAACATTGGTCCTGCTGGAGTAACATTAGTGATCGTAAGAGAAGATCTACTGGGAAAGGCAGCTGTCACCTGCCCCACTATTCTGGATTTTAGTATCATGGCAAAGGACAACTCTGTTCACAACACACCTCCAACTTTCTCGTAAGATCATTAAGAAGTACAGTCACCATAGTCTATTTTATTCTTTGTTTCTTGAGGAACTGATGCTCACTTTAGCATGAACAGAGACCCGAATTTACAAGAATTAAAGTGGAAATATTCATAATTTTTTTCTGGGTTCTATCCTATTATTGGCTGGAGTAACAACCCATGGACACAACTGAAATCCACTTGGGAAACCTAGCCTGAAATGGGATGGAATTATGAGCTCAACATGAGTAAGCGTGAGGCACCACAACTAGTTCTGCTGCAATCAGAAAACTTTGTTTTCATTTATCATCCAGTGTAGCACCTTACCTTAAACTAAGTAGAATTTAAGAAATTCCAGTGCTTGCACAGGATTATCTGCAGCCATGTCAGTAAACATGATGGTTTACAGTGGAATTGCATCTCATATTTTATCATTTTACATTTTTTTCAATATCCACACCAGTCTACAATCTTTGTGGTTCAATTTCATTTATCTTAATTTTACATACCATGAACAAACAATACTAGTTGTCTTCCCAAACTATAAACAGATCGAAAATTTTAATTTCTAGCCGTGCCTTCTTAGAGACTGCATGGTGTTCAGTGTGAAAGGCTACAGTTGAAACATTAAACTCTAATATCAGTGTGGTTTGTAATACAGGATATATGTCATGGGACTGGTATTCAAATGGATCAAGAGAAATGGAGGTGTTGAAGGGATGCAAGAAAGGGCAATAAAGAAGAGTGGCATTATCTATGATATTATTTCTTCTTCCAACAATTTCTACTATTGTCCTGTAAAGGATACTGTTCGCAGCCGGATGAACATTCCATTCCGTGTTGGTGGACCAAATGGAAATGATGATTTGGAGAAGGAATTCCTCTCTGGGGCACAGAAACTGGGAATGTTACAGCTCAAAGGGCACAGGTATGATGGCATATAAGGAAAAAAATTTTGCAAACAAAACAGTTCCCTCAAATTGCTAATTGTAAACAGTTATTAAATTTCCCTATGCAGGTGACTCATCTGTTAACACTTTTATATTTAATAGGCAAATATGAAGCCTCAGTTTAATAAAGTAATGTCTTTTACTTATTTCTAGATTTCTTGGTAGTGTATGAGCATGAAGTTAAACACGATAGTATGTCACATGAAATTATAACTGTTATTTAATTTTCAGGTCAGTAGGTGGAATACGAGCATCACTGTACAATGCAGTAACAGTGGAAAATACTGAGGTATTAGGAGCATACATGAAAGAGTTCTACCAGACTCATAAGAAGTAATTATCTGTATTCATGCATCTATATTTCTTCTGTATTATGGTACTAAATCTTACACACTATTTACAACTAAAAAATATTGCAATTTTTTGAAAGAGTGAAGTCCCTCATAACTCTTTACCTCACTATTATAACTCTCCAGATGCATTTCTTTTCAGTTTGGCTGTCTTGCATAAATCAGAATAAGAATTTATGTTAAGATTCTTGTATTTCTCAGCTTGGCTTATACATTGGAATATATAAAAAAGATGTGACTGATTTACAATTATGTCTAATCCAAAACTCAAATTATTCCTTAGTTGGCAACTATGAGTACATCATGTTCTGTTCTTGGCTATGTAATTAAACTTCTTGGTCAGACTATCATGTTTAATTATTTTTGGTATATTTAACAATACTGTCACATGTAGGGTGGTACGCATGACAAAAATGATGGGTTCTAGTTCGGATGATTGGATTCATTAGCACTTTGGTTACAAATTCTCCTTAGTCACATTTAAATACAGCACTATTGTTGATTTCCACAATTTACAGTTCACTGTTACACATTCACTAGGATCCTCAGCCTTCACTACTGGTAATGGAGTAAAACAGCCTCACTGTGACTCAATCTTCTAATCACACGCCAAGTCTTCACAGGCCGACTTCTTATTCTTCTTCTACAACAAACTTCGTGGATATCTTCTACCGAGAACTCAGCACTGACTGACTGCATTCACTTCTCTTACAAGTACTCTGCACTAGGCTCTCAGTCTTGTCTAAACCATAACAGATACTTGTTATATAGCCTCCACACGAACCATGCACAGAGCAGTCAGTTCTATTGGTGCATAAGGAAGACCACACAGAACACAAGTTACATAATTCATAGCCAATATATTAATTGGTGTGCCATTGCCCAGCAACGCGCAATAACATTCCTCCACTGAGTCACACCTTCCATTATTGCCTTGTGTGTATTCGGTCACGGGCTTTTACCAGTCTGTTACCTAGCAATGCTCTGGCCATCCACATTACAGTGATTTTCATTGTCCAATATTATACCAAACTGATTGATAAGTGTAATGAATACTGAACTGGAAAAGGTTTTAGAGGAGAGCAACCATTGGTCAATTTAAGGTAGTATTATAGAATTTGATCTTCTGACTGAGGAAAATCATGACAAGCCTCAATGAGGACATCCAGTCTGGGATTTGTACTTGGGACCAAGTATGGGGACGAGCCACTTGATTGTGACATTTGATGTTAGACTATTGGTGGTTGCAAGACTGTTCTGAATAAAGGAAATTGAATATTATTATTATTCAGAACTGCAGTATAATCATTCAAACATTATAAATATGTAGCTATCAGCAGTCAGCAAAGTTATGTACAGAATGCAGTTGCATAACTCTTTTTGAAATACAGTTGTTAATGGGGGGGTCAGGGGAGGAAGCAGCTTTAAATGCATTAAGTCACAGTTCAGAGAACAATACATGTGGCATGTGTCTTAAAATTTTTCAGCAGTGAAGAGTTTAAGCATAGCAAGATTTATAGTGTTTCCAAGTAGAACTGATGGCATAGTTATACTTGGCTTTTTGTGAGTGGTCAGTCAACACATAGGTCTGCTGATAAGCAGCAGGGCCTAAGTTTGTTTAGAAGCTGCATGACAGAAGACTCAGTGCCAGACTGAGCTGTCTTATGACTTAATCTTGGGATGGAGAAGAAAGGAGTGGATTTTGATAGCCCAGGTTTTGAATTAATATACAATAGTCAAGAGTATTTTTAGACAGTTGTAATACTTTAGACAGACATTGTGTAAGTATGTGATACTGAACCAGGAGTCTACTTGTACCTACAGAGGTTGCTTGATGCCTTATAATGGGTAAGTATGTGAACTGCACTTCATAGAGGTGAAAAGGGCCTAAAATCCTCTTGATAATTTTCTTTCATACAACTTCTTTCTATACATGGAACAAATAAGGATAGTTAAAAAGAAAGTCCCTGTATCTTGTCCTGTTTATAATACATGTGGTTTGAGATGAAAAACATATCACCACTGAAACAGGGTACATAAAGTTTCTTGCCAAAATGCAGAAGTACAATAACTCAGAAAGGTTATAATTATGCTGGCCCATATTTATTCTCAAAATGCAATGTCTTAGAACGTGAGCTGACTTCCATCATCAGGCAAGGTTGGAACCTAAGCTGCAAATTACTTTAAAAGAAGACTTAATCTACCTTACTGTATATATTTAACAAGCAGAAGGAATGATAAATGAGGCACTAATATCCACTCTTCAAATTACTTATTAACAAAGTTATGGCTAAAGTGAGAAAGGGAAGTGATACTCTGCAGACTAATTCTGGAGGTGCCTTATTTTAGACAAGCTGAATTATTGAGTCAATGATGAACCCTTCCCTTACAATAAACATTCAACTATGCGGATGCTTATTCAGACTGAATGAATTCAAAACCAGGCCTACATACTGTATGAACAGGGAATTAATAATATTTCAGAATTCACCATGCTTTTATGCACTGAAAGAAATGTAATATATATATACGAGGGGGTACCCAAAAGAAACCGAACTTATTTTTTTTTAAACTTATTTATTCAAATTTGAAGCACAAACCTTCAATCCCCTTCAAAGTACTCTCCACTTACACTAATACATTTGTCTAGTCTTTTATTCCATTTTTCAAAACATTGTCTAAATTCATCTTTTGAGATGCTTGACAGCGCCTCCATCGTTTTTTCCTTTCATGTCTCTTTTCATTCGAGGAAACAAAAAAAAGTC